GAAGTAAGCCTGGGCTATGATAGCCTAATATGATAGCCTTACAATAGCCCCTAATTTGACATTGCAATGGTCTAGGCATAAGACTTGACCTTAATTAAAAATAAAAACCTTTACAAGAGAAGTAGGTGCCTAGGTCTGGGAGTCATAAAGAGGTTAAAAACAGGAAACCAAAAAAAAAAGTATGTGACCTCTCATGGGTCTAGTCTAGAGACCACATTGACAACAAGAAATGAAAAAGCCTTGTGTCCTGCTTGTCTAAATACTCGTGATTTGGGTTATCCTGGGAAAAAAAAGTCTATAACAGCTTGCTATGCATGCTTAGGCCAACATGACGCTTATTTGTGCGAAAGCTACTTCCAGAAGGTACAAATCATTGACACTGATACATCCATCCAATGACTGACTTTGACCAAGTCTTGGCCTAGACTAGACTGACGTAGCGTCTAGGAAACGATGCGCTCAGATGGGAACTACAAGCAAACTGCACGCATTTATAAGTTATTTTAATTCTGAAAAACGATATGGCTTCCAACAGTTGATTGGTGCGTGAATACGCTAGTGTTTCCAGCTGTGAATGATTTGCGCGCCCCACTCTCCGGGCATAGTCTGCGGATGACCAGACTCCCTTCTCCCTCGGCATTGCGCTGCTTCCCGCAGATGTCTCGTCGATCGTGACTAGTACGATGCAGTTGCCTGCATTCAACTTTTCACTACTGATCTGCCCAAAATGCCGAATTCTTGCTTTGTACGAAACTGTGACTCCGAGTAAGAAACGTGCCAATAGGAGACAGCTAAGGTAATTTTGCAAATATTACGTACTGTGCAGTTTCCCCCATGCCATTTTATCCTCCATCGGGCAATAACAATTTATTTCAAGGGACTTATGACGAATATTTCAGACAAGGAATGAAAGGGGATTTTCTTCCTTTTTTTTTTTGAAGCCACAAAATTCGATTGCCTCTTTTTGCATTCCTGGGACTAGAGGCATTTCTTTTTTCTTTTTTTTTTTTACATCTTAAAACATCGTTGAAACAAAAATAAAATACCAGGAGGGCTTAACAGGCTTCGGAGATTGGACCTCACGTCGGCTTCGACCTAGAACACAATCGTCTCCTCTCAATCTGACGTTTTCCTCATGCATCATAAACAGGACAACAAACAACTCTTGGATCCAATTGCAATGCGATTTTTACGGGGACCTGCTAGGAGTTTTAGCAATCTTTTATTTTGATATAACGTACTACAGACGCTGTTAACAATGTTTCGAGATTAGATGCTTCCGCAGAGTTCATCCAGCTGCTCACTATTTAAAAATAATATGAGGAAGTCCTTCAGAAACGTTGGGAGTTCTTGTAGCAAAGTACTGCTCCATGATTTCAACTAGGACTACCAATCGATAAAAAAAAAAGTCCATTAACCGTGAGCCCTAATGATCGAGAAATTAAATATCGATCGAGCTTAACTCCCTGAATGGGACGAAGGAAAGACGATCCACCATTTTACCCCGAGCGGCCGTGGCCGTCGAGCCCCAATCGAACCGGTCGGAGTGGAAGGACCCAAGATACATAGGGAAGGACCTTCGCCTTCGAGCGTTACGGGGGACGAGGGTGTTGGGAAAAGCGCAGAGAGTCTGCTTTCCGCAGGTTACCAGGCAGCCAGGAGGCAAAGAAACACTCGTACAAATTGTGTGGAAGGAGGCGTTCTTGATTCTCATAAGGCTTTCCTTTCCTCTTATAGCGAGGGCTCGCCCTGATAGCGCATCATGATCTGGTAACAGGTTTTTATATCAGGTGGCGCAAAAAAAGTGTCCTGTTTGACGCTGTAAAACACTCGCTATGGATCATCTAGGTTCGTGATTTTCTCAGACTCAGACCAAGCTGGAAATGATCGCAAACTAGTGTCCAATTTGCAGAACCTTGTTTTCAGCCAAAAACAGCTAAGTCGATTGGAAAAAGTGCTGATTTCCGAAACTTAGACGCATAGTCCTTCCAGAAATTTACAGAAATTCCAGAAATTTACAGGCATACCAGGAAAGAAAATTACGATGAAGAAATTTATTAAACTAAACCACGGATGGAGGCTGAAATGTTATTCGACTGAATTCAGTCAGACTGGGACATGATATCGTATCGCCTGGCGTGTTTCGTCAAGGAAAATACTCTGAAAAACCTCAATCCAAAATAATCCAGTACTGCAGTAAGAGAACATGCCAGAAGTCCATTGGTTGCATCTGTTTCAATAACGCTGCCAATAGTTGTAAATACAACCAGTAGATGTCACCTAATTCGAGCCGCCAGAGCTCAATTTTGTTGAACCTGAGATTTGATGCTGAGACCAATTATTTTGTATTAATTATTTTTCATTAAACGAGACTTTTTATGCTCAGTGATTTTACTTTACCTGATTTTGTGTCACGCGGTATCCTGCACCAGATCGAATTTGGCCATACGAGATTTCATATTTTGTTCTCTATGCTACATACTTTCAGTGAAACTCAATAGGATTTGATCAATTTTGTCCCTTTGTATTTTTGGCATTGCAAGATTTGATGCTGCATGGCACTCCCGTTTCTTCTTACTTTAACTGATACTAAGAAAGCTTAATAGTGGCTCTTGTATCAATAAGGCACAATTTATATCTCTTCTTCCCCAATTTAATTTCCAGAGCCAACAATTGGGGCTCTTGGAGGTTCAAAAAATTAAATGGGAATGACTGGTAGGAAACAGTTCATGTTCAGGGACTTGCGGAGACTATTGGAATATTTTCCAATAGTTTCCTTTCATTATTCATTTACGAGAAGACCTACTTAACCACATGCAGCTTCCTCAGCTTTTGAGATGAGGATCGACCAGATGCATTAGCAAGGTACATTTCGGACTCAGAATGCAAATCCTCAGCTCGGGATTTAGGCCGTCGTGTCGAATGCCTTGCTCCTATAACCTGTAGAAGAATATAGAATGACCTATGCTCACGCCATCAGGTTTAAGAAATGCCTTATTCCCGTAATTCGAAGAGTTACTTGCGCATTTGTTCAAGTGAATGGCATATCAGGCGCATTTCCGACTGCTGCTAACACCGGGGAGAGAAAGCAAGAGCGACGGTGGACCTTGTGGACCTCCTAGTCCCACCGTGCACAAGAGAAGTCCATGAGCGCGTCTTTTTTTCCGGCCGATAGCAGCTGCTGGTGAAAAAGACGCTCTGGCTAGGCACGACCACGTCATCGAATGACGTCACTATTGGGCAACCAGCTGTCAGCAGAACATAGCGAACTACGAGAACGCTGAGCAGCTAAGCCTAAAAAGATGTCATCGGATCCCGGAGGTCTCAGCAGACCTAGCAGAGCCGCTAGCAAAAAAGACACACCCCTTATCAGACTAGATTCCCGCGAATGCAAGCCGGGACTGTGAGTTTGACCAATCAGAAGGCGCGACTCCCGACTCTCGACGAGTATGGCGCTCCCCTTCCTATACAAACGGCCGGAGTTCGCGATCTTTTTAAGCCAAACCGTAGGTCTAGGCTCCACATTTCCGCTTCGGATTAGGTTTTTAACCGACGCCACTGATCTTGCAGGCGTAAGTTCCACCCGACCACAGGCGCTGAACAGATATAGGCCTATTTAGAGTGTAGACTTAGGAGTTGTTTGGCTTGGGCGTTAAGTTGCCGTAAGTGTGGTGTTCTTAATGATAATAATAATAAAGGTGTTCGTTTGGTCATGGTCATGCGATGCTGGAATCGGTTTTTGCGGCCAAGGCGCTTTGTAAAAGAAATATGTGATTTCCCGGAATGCTGAAGGCTTAGGCGATCGATTTTTGCATGGGATTATGAGCTACTTTCACTTTTATATGTGGTCATTGGAAGCGCACAGAAGCTGAAGACTGGAGAGAAAAGTGATGAACATGGACAATGTGGATGTGCAACGTTATATGGCAATCAACCATTGTATATTTCTCCCGTTATTGCAAACTTATTCATGATAGGATACATACTGCTATTAGGAAAGGTGAGTCTCACCTCAGTAATGCAGCCAGTGTGCAGAAAACTTCTATGTTTACATTAATAAGTATATGCATTTGTAACAATTTTATGGGAAGATGGCATTGTCACAGGAAAATATTTTGCATATTAGAAGAAAGGTGGGAGACACTGAGCAAAGCACAATGTAGGACAAGTTTAAGAATGATGAAGAGGGTCCTATGAATTTTTAAATCAAGACCAACTCAGAAATTGAGGCCAAGCTACTCTAAAATCTGGGCACAAATAAATTCTATGTTAGGCATTGGTTTTAATTTTTTTGCTTTTCACAATTCCAAGCTAATTTGTACCTTGGTTTTAGGTTAATATCGCATCATTTCTGTTTGAAATGGGGTGCTGGTTTTATTCAATATAAATATTTTTTTTTACGATGATCAGTTTAATGCTGCTGGTCCCTGACTTAACGTAGCTTAAGCATTCAATTCTTTATTCCACCAATGCTTGATTGTGAATACCTGCCTATATTCTCATTCTGAGAGACTTCAGTTTTGGTCACCAGGACCTGAACAGAAGCTGGGTTATCTTGACATTGTGAGGGTAGACCCTTTGTCACAGGGTGTCATGATTGGGAGATATGATCCATAAATTTTGATTTACTCTCTAATGCAGTGCTTCTCAACCTGAACTCATTGTTCTCTTGTATGAGCTACTTCGTTTCTGCATATGAGAGATTGACTTTAGCATGATGCCATATTGGCTTCTGATATTTGCTGTAGACTGCAGAATTGCTTGAAATGCTGCTCCTGTCAGACAAATGAAGCCAATTCATTCCTTAGATGAATCTGTCATCTTTGCCACTTATATAGACTTAAGAATTGAACATGAGACTAATCTTAGCAAGTCCATAGGCCTGTTTTATTTAGGGAGGAACAAGATTTGACTTAGTTATTTCCTTTTCAGTCATCAGGATCTAATCTGTAGACCTATTTTCAATATGTAGTCTTTGTTGCAAGTGAAAAAATTCATGATATTTCTTAACATAGGTACAAGAGGCCCACTGTAATATTCATTGTACAAAGTGAAGTAGGCCCAGGGCTGAAGCAGAGCCTTTGGCAGAATGCCAGGATTTTTGAAATGGATCGAAATGGAGAATTTCAAGTCCTATCGAGGATCAAAGAGGATAGGACCAATGCAGCCTTTCACTGCAGTCATTGGACCAAATGGATCTGGTAAGTGAGCTAGGTCAGAATTGTACTGTAGAGTGACTAGATTCTCTATATATGCAGAGTGGCTCTAAGTAGCCAATCTAGGCTGTCCATTCTTCTCTCTATTTGTCATTTATATGCATGAAACTTGTAAACTATTGTATTGGCTAGGAGATGTAGCATTCAGTTCTGCTATAGCATGCAACATTTTTTGGTTAGAGATGGATTTTTTACAATTTGCAGGCATGCTCTATTACCTTCTACTGAAGGGAATCAGTAGGGATGATGTTTATGCTTTTAAAGCAAAATGGTGAAAGTGTATTGGAACAAAGGGAAGATTTCTTCTGCAGTAACATGCATTCTGCATTTTATCTCCTTATTTAGATAGCCAATTTTCTTGGAGTTTTTAAGTTTTCCCTCTCTAACATCTTTCACAGTTATTAGGAACAGACACCAACAGTATCATGTCTAGCCCCATAGCTCTAATCTGATTGCTTACACAATTCTGTTTAGTTGGAAGTGATCAGATAGATGTGCATATTATTAAAAGTTCCCCCTCTTGCCATGAAATTCTCCAGTAACTACTGGTGACGAAGGAATGCTCCATGTGTACAGCTTGATTTTCCCAGTACCATCACACACTAAAGTCAGAGGTAGGGAGTATTCAGACTTAGATAGGTTGCTGGGTTTGTTATGTCTTGCATTCTTTAATATTACATTCCCATATATAAACCTAATTTCTATCACATTTGAGTAGACCTAATTCTTGAGTGGATGCACTGAGCATCCTCTAGAGTGGAAAGGTGTTTATCACTGAATGGAATTTTATTGAAATAGCTGTCCATGTAAAACTAATCTTCAATATAATTACAAAATGTTGTTCTCTCTTGTGTGAAAGGAAGGAGGGGGAGGAAATCACTTGGGAAAGGTTGCCTTGATGTGCATGCCTGCTTTAGCATGAAAGGTCTTGTTTGTGTCAAGTTGAAATTTGAAGTTAATTTTTTTTTTACTTGACTAAATTCCCCTGATTGGATAACAAAACAAAATATTCCAAACTGATTACTGAAAATTCTGGAAGTGGATTGACAAAAAGTTTATATGAAAAGCAAACCAGGACATTTAACATAATGTGGGCTGATTATTGCATCATTGATTTTAATGCATGTGTAAGAAGTTTGCTTTGTCCTACATGTATGTCATTTTCTGTTTCTGATTCTGACACTTATCCAAAAATGGCCAGTCTACAGAGTGTTAACCCATTTATTGCCACAGAAACTATATATAGTTGATTAAGCCTAAGGATAAGCTGTGTGGCACTATAAAGGTTAAGCTGATAGGATAAGCACCCTGTTTTCTGGCCAGTCTCCAGTTGTTGGCCAGTGAGGCTTAAATCCAGCATAATTAGTTAATCTGGCTGTTTTCAAGCATTCTATCAGCATCTTCCCATACAAGGACCTATTACTAGTGTTTCTCAGTGAGCACACAGTGTGTCCACTTCCTATGTGAGTCATATCAGCGTGGCCAAAAACTGGGGTGTTTACCCTACATGATGCTTGTAATTTTTTTGTAATGCCTTACTCTTCCCAATACAAATTTCTTGAATGATCTTCAACTATTGTCAAAATTTTACCAGCCCTCAGTGTTAGGAGAAAGGTTTATGTATTTTCTATACTAAATTTTGCCAAAAAGTGCTCAGGTATATGACTTAATTTTACATTTGAGAGTAATGACTTTTCAAGGTCACACACAATTTTACAGGATGAATATATGTCTTGGTCTGATGAAAGCATGAAAAATATGATAGCGTTGTCTGGAGAAAATTTTTGCCTGAGTTGAAAGTTGAGCCCTCCAATGGAAGGAAATGTGTTTTACTGCAAGGTACAGAAAATTATCGAAATTTTCATTTAATTGAAAATCAATTAGAGATGAGATGAATAATAATATTTTTATTTAACCCTTAGAATCCCAAGGTGCCAATTTATTTGCATTATTTTTATGTACCAACTTGGATTCATAATGATTTTTTTAAATATCACTGCAATTTGATATAAAATTTGCTTGGTAGTTTTACTATCTACTTGGGCTTGGGAGTGAAAAGGTAAAAGGTATGACTAAAGTCATACCAAGTTCGTCGGATCTGTAATGTCTTTAATGTGATCAAACAACTTCAAAATTCTTGTTCCAGGGAAGTCCAACTTCATGGATGCTATCAGTTTTGTGATGGGTGAGAAGACATCCAGTCTTCGTGTGAAACGCCTGAGTGACCTCATCCATGGTGCTTCTATAAATGAGCCTGTTTCAAGATCTGCAAGTGTGACAGCTGTCTTCCAGATGCCTTCTGGAGCTGAGAGACGTTTTACTAGGCTTGTCCTTGGCTCTTCATCAGAACATAAAATTGATAGTGAAGTGAGTATAAAATTCAGCCATCCAAGTACTACTTTTTGTAGCAATAACAGTATTTGTACTTTGTGTGGCTATGAAATAAAAATGGCCATCTCTTGTAATTAAAATCTGATTTGCGCCATTAGAAGGCAATCATGATAGGAATTTTGAGATTAATGCACTGGCCTAAACTTATGTTGGTGGGTTGACCTAACATGTAGATACGGATTTAAAATAGTAACTGAAGGAGAAACAGAAGATCTTTAGTGGAACTATCAAGGATGCTTTTTCACCAGTTGATAAAGAAAATAATGACTCACTTTCATGCACTTTATAAACACTCTATAAACATGGTCAGATTATTCTATATGTATTTGTGACATTGATGAAGTAGGATGTGGAATGAGTATAAAGGAAAATTAATGCCATGAACCACAGACAGTCATTCATGGCTCAGATTTAATGCTCCATACTAGAGCCAACAGGAAAGTATTGTTTTTCATGTATCCATGTATTCATGTGTATTCCTCTCATGTTACTGTAGTTAACACCAACATGATACCCACATTAAAGTCTGCTTAATCTGTTTTTACATTTTTGCTTGATGCTCATAGCAATCCATATGATCATATAATAAAGATAATTCAAACTTATATTATTATGGAAGAATCACACCAAGTAACTGTTCTATATCAGAGAATAGAGTGATTGAGGTTATGCCTTTTTTGAATCTTTCAGTAGATTCATACATGAACCAAGGAAAAAGCACCTCATGAGAGTGAGACAGAAAACTGATGTTAGAACAAAGCAGACTTTCCAAAGTAAAAAGAATCTTTGGCTCTGTCTTATCCCACCCTCATTGATGGGATGATTTTCCAACTGTATTGTCAGAGCTTTAATACAGGTTTTGCCCTTTACCTTACTTCTTTATCGTGTTATATTACCCTTTGTACAATTGAGGTTATAGGGAGAGGTATTGCATTAACTCCATTCCAATTCACCATTGTAACTAATCATGTAACCAGTTTTTCACTTGAATTTACTGGGATTCAAGAGGAACCTTCTTGGAGGCCTGAATTTGTGAATTCCTTCTAGGCACTCATTTTATTTTTACACTTATGGGATGTACTGACTCCCCTCAGGCTGTATGGGTTTCAAATTTGATTAGGAATATTCCCATATTTCAGTACTGAAAATACCCATAGAGATTTATCCTAGTTGCTCTATTTTTTCCCTACACATAGCTTATTGCTGGTTGAAGGATGCCAGTTGGAGATATATGAGGTGTCAGTTGGAGATGTATGAATCCCATCTTCATTAAAAAGAAAATTCAGGGCTTTCCAATAAATTTTTAGTTTTCATTTTCACTCCAAGTTATTATTTTAGCAATAGTTGTAAAGTTTGGATAGACCTCTGCATTTACAATTTAAGTGCCTAATTTATCTAAACCTGTTACATATTCTTGTAGGTGGTCACAAGTCAAGCTTACCTGAGTGAACTGGAGCAGATGGGTATCAATGCAAAGGCCAAGAATTTCCTTGTGTTCCAAGGGGCAGTGGAATCTATTGCCATGAAGAATCCCAAGGAAAGAACAGCTTTGTTTGAAGAGATTAGTGGGTATGTGACAGTCTGTTTCTTTGACCCTAGCATCTGCTTTTGATTCTGCTGGGTTTGAATCCAATGTTCTGGAGTTAAAAAGTCATGTCATCTGTCATCTTTACAGATCAGGAGCTCTAAAGGAGGAGTATGACCGTCTGAAGGTTGAAATGCTCAAAGCAGAAGAAGATACGCAGTTCACTTACCAAAAAAAGAAAGGCATTGCAGCAGAAAGGAAGGAAGCTAAATTGGAGAAAGAAGAGGCTGAGAAGTATCAACGACTCAAAGAGGAATTGGTAAAACACTTTTCTTATTGCCTTTCTGGCTTTTTCAGGTTTTGGATTCTCATGATGTGATTCTTGAAAGTATAATCTTTTCTGTTCAATTTTTTCCTTCAGGCCCAGAAATATGTGGAGTCCCACCTCTTCAAACTGTTCCACAATGAAAAAGAGAGTGAACGATGTAGTGAGGATCTGAGAAAGAAGCAGAAAGAGGTGACAAAAATTGAAACCAAACGCCATGAGAAGGAGGAAGACCTCCAAAAGCTGAAGAAAGACCATGGCAAGAAGCAGAGAGATATGGCTGCCATTGAACAGCAGATAAGAGAAAAGGTAATTGCTTTGAAAGTAATATTTTTTATGCTTGATGAAGAGATGTTTTGCATGACTCAGATAATGGTGCACACATGGTATTCTCATTCATAACTGGAAGCAGCTAATATATATATTATGCAATCCTAATAATTTTAATAATAGATTTTATTCACTTTCATCTAAAGTAGTGTGCAGGTCAGAGAATCTATGATGTGAAGAAAAGAACAATCAAGTTGTAGGAACATTTAATTTCCAAAAATGATAAAGCAACAAGAACTTTAGTAACTTGGCAAATGTTTGGCTGTTTGAATTTGGAATTACTCTAGGCTTATGAATGATCTAATGGGATCTAATAGGCTAGTATTTTTTGTAACTTCATCCTTGAGGGTATGGTTATTTCTTGGAGGTCAGGCATAAACACTGGGAATAATACTGAACCAGGTCAGTTGTGCTAGTTATATAGGTGATGTTTTGGACCTCATTAAGTGTATCCAGGATAGATTTCAGGAGTCATAGAGTATGGCCACATACATCTGAGGTGATTTGATCCTTATCAGAGTAAGGAGTAACTCACTAAGATAAAACAAGTATACATCTCTCATCTCTTTCATATGCTACCCTATCTGAAAAGAATAAGGGACTGTATTGCATTATGAAAGAAAAAAGGTAAGGCTGGCAACATGGAGACTTCTTCATTCCTTATTCTGCTTCTGCAAAAAACCATGATCATTGTGCCTGACCTTATCATGAAATGGATCAAGTGCTGAATTTGTGATAAATTCTGTATTGTGTGGTACATTCTGTTTCATGTGACATGGCAATACACCCCACTATTGATTTCTCTTTCTGAATAGCTGTTAATCCAGCTTCTTCCAATATCAATACAATAGGTGTAAATTTGTTTAATTTTACCCTTACATAAAATTCTGATGCCAGGGATACAGTTAATCTTATCTCTGTATCAATATCCCTGTATATCTGTTAGTGAAATGAGGTGAGAGGGAATGTGTCACTCAATATAATAATTTTATTTTTGTATTCTTTTTGGTAATTTGTATCATTTTTTTGTGAATTCTTCAAGTTACTTTCTTAACCCAAGACATCACAGAAGATTGAGCAGTTATCTTATTTGCATTTGCAAGTTAATATGACTTGGAGGAACTTTTTCTCTCAAGCTCAGTCATTGCCATCATTGCCTTAAGGCATTACAAGACAGTCATCTCTTCATGAACAAAGTAAAGTTCCATTGACTCTCCAGGTGGTTCTATTATTTTTTCTCAAGAGAACTGTGAGGAAATAGAATTAGCTCTAATTGTTTTGGATTCATGTTGTGGATAGTCTCATGATAGTTTTGGATTAATGACCTAATGACCAGGGCTTCCCAACCTTTTCATGTGCAATCCCAAAAATCACGATCATACCATTCAGGACCATCAGCATTGGACGTAATTCGACAGGCTCCCTCACCTATATGCTAAAATTGCAAATAAAAATATAATTTGACATTTAGTTGCCAGTTCAAGACCCCAAATATGATCATGATCAGGGGTCACGACCCCTGGATTGGGAAGCCCTGATCTACTCTGTAGATATTCCTGGTATAGTTACCAGGAGATTCTGAATGAATGTGCAACACTGCAACATTGTACGTATATGGTATCTTTCAGGAAGTGGAAATCAACAAGAGGCGTCCAACATTCATCAAAGCTAAAGAGAGAGTGGCTCATATTCAGAAGAAGTTGGATTCAGCAAAGAAGTCTCTGACTCAGGCTCTGAAAGCTAATGCTGCTCATTCAGAAGACATCCAGGTTCTTGAGAAAGAACTGGAAGAAGTTGATAAACGGAGGCAAGAATATGAAGACGAGATAGCTGGCGAGTCCTCCAGTCAAGGAAGGGATGTCCATCTGGAGGATGCTCAGGTGAATGAAATCTTGCAGGCAACAGTGGGCAATCTGTAGAAACAAACAGATGAGATTCGAGAAATGTTAAAATTTGTCTTATATGTTTGAAATAGGTCAGAGAATATAATCACTTGAAAGAGGAAGCTAGCATTCGATCTGCCATGATTCTACAAGAATTGGATGGCATCAATCGCGAGCAGAAGTCAGATCAAGATCGAATGGATAATGAACTTCGCAAGAAGACAGACATTGATAACAGGCTTAGACAAAAAGCTCATCAGCTGGAAGAAGCTGAGAAGAGACTGGAAAAGCTAAATGAGCACATCAGGTTGGTTCCTTAAATTACTATGTATCATTTGTTGCATTTTTTGCATGCCACAAGCCTAATTTCAAAATTCTTCATATTACAGAACAAGTGAAGCAGCTTTGGAGGAACAAGTACATTTGAAGGAGGAGTTGCAGAGAGATGTTGGATCCTCCAAGGACAGAGTTGCCAAAGTTCAAGTTGAATTGGAGGCTGTCATGGAGCAGCTGGGAGATGCAAGAATTGACAAGCACGAAGAAGGAAGGCGTAAGAAGAAGCAGGAAATTGTTGAGAATCTCAAGCGACTGTTTCCTGGAGTGGTGAGTGTTATGATTGTGTTACTCTTTATGCTTGGGAGATTGACTATCATGTAATCATGGAGCATATTTGATATTGTACATGGTCTGTTGTTCTCATATTTTCTTCTTTTTTCTGCTCAGTATGATCGGATGATCAACATGTGTCAGCCAATCCATAAACGGTACAATGTTGCTGTGACCAAGATCCTTGGCAAGAACATGGAAGCAATCGTTTGTGATTCAGAGAAAACAGCCCGTGCCTGCATTCAATACCTGAAGGAACAGATGTTGGATCCTGAAACATTCCTTCCTCTTGATTACATCATTGCAAAGCCACTGAAAGAAAGACTAAGGTTTGACTTTGAATGTCATTGAATCCTGAACTTTTCTTAACCTCAAAATCTCTTTCCCAAAATAATCGAAATAATCTAAAAAATAGAAAGTTCTCACTCTAAAATGTTTACTACTGTTTTTCTGTTAAAAAGGGAGATGAAGGACCCGAAGAATGTTCGTCTCTTGTATGATGTACTTCATTATGAGCCTTCAGAGATCAAGAAAGCTGTGCTCTTTGCTACCAACAATGCTTTGGTTTGTGAGACCCCAGAAGATGCTCAAAAAGTTGCCTACTGCAATGATGATGGACAGCGATATGATGTATGTTGACACCTCTTCCGAATTAATTTCATGAATTTATACATAAGTACCAAAATATACAGTTTAATTGGTTATTGGAATGTGCTACTAGAAGAAGCACATAACAGTGTAGGTAATATTAGGGTCATGTTGCTGACCAGCTTCTGTCAATTAACTACAGGCAGGAGTGCAGTTTGGTGGTTGTCTCAGTCAGCTAAAATGAACGTGTTTCCTGTGAGAGGGATGTTCTGGATGCAGCTAGTTTGTCAAGATAGATTTTACAGTGAATGTACAGATTATCGATATGGAAAATGTAGCCCTGTTCTTCACAGGAAGGATGTCATGTTTTTTCTAATTGCAATTCTTTCTGGGAAAGGTAGCCACTTAAAAGGGGAGATATTATTTTTCTTTACATGATAATTCTTACTTTAATACTGTATTTTTCTTGTCCATGACTGATATAGGCTGTTGCATTGGATGGAACATACTATCAAAAGTCAGGCATCATCTCTGGTGGTAGTGTAGATTTGTCTCGTCGTGCTAAACGTTGGGAAGAGAAGAGTGTCAACATCTTGAAACAGAAGAAGGTGAGAAGAGTGATCTTCATTGTTGGATGTTTCTTTTCCTGTTTGATAAGAATGACAATGTGCTTTTCTCCAGGAAAAACTGACTGAAGAGTTGCGAGAGGCCCAGAAGAAATCTCGTAAGGAAATGGAGTTGAAAACTGTTGAGAGTCAAATCAAAGGTTTGGAGACACGGCTGAAATATTCCAGGACTGATCGAGATAACACTGTAAGGAAATATATATGTGCTCTTTCCTTCAGAAACTTGTATTCAGTTGAAAGTGATGTTCCTTAAAACAGAATTATTTAATGTGTTTTAATCTTGTTAAAGTTAAAGTTATTTTAGGCCTATTTTATTTCTTATATTGTGCTAGCTTTGGCTAGTGTTTAGCTGGCACAGAATGTGATCAAGCCGTTTTCCCTTTGTCCCTATCTGATTGCTCCAATCAATTGCATATCCATGTATCCCAGGAAATTTTTTAAATTTATCCCATAGGAAGCAAAACAGATTTCATCCTTGAAGCGTGAGCAACAAGAACTACAGGAACAGCTAGCCACGTTTGCAGTGAGTTCTATATTTATATTTCTTGTACACCTATGATGATTTTATATTTTTACCCAGAGGTGCACCAATGTGTGCAATCAGAGTCCAATTTAACATTCTGCACTACTTTGCATTTACCATTCTGGATAATCACCTAGTACCATGAGGAGAAAGATGATGCTCATGCTCCAATACACTATTGCTCCCAATCTCTCAGATAGGCTGTCATTGCAGAAGCTATAACAGATGACAAGTATATTGTGAATAATGTGAATAATTTTGATTCTTAAAGTTCTTCTGTTGCTTTAGAGCATGAAGGCTCTAAGAACCAAAAGCTTTGTCTGTGGTCTTTTTTTTTTTAGAATTGTCAACACAATCTCATCATCTCTCAGATGGGAATGAAGGGTGTAAATGTATGAATAAAAGCCATTCTTTTTTCTTTCAGCCTCGAATTGCTGCAATACAGCGCACAATCAGCTCAAGAGATGAGAAAATTGTATCGCTGAAGCAAGACAAGGATAATGTTGAAGATGAACTGTTTTCTGACTTCTGTGCCCAGATTGGTGTGGCAAATATTAGACAGTATGAAGAAAGAGAGCTGAGGTTAGAATTCTCATATTACTATTTCATCATTTGAAAACTGTGATGGATGGTTAGCTATAATGTATCCTATTGCTTTGCAGGTCCCAACAAGAAAGAGCCAAGAGACGTCTGGAATTTGAAGATCAAAAGAATCGCATCTTGAATCAGCTTGAGTTTGAGAAGTCCAGAGACACCAATAGTAAGTTTCTTGCCATTTCTATATTTAATCTTTCTGGAACCTTCACTTGGAAGATGAATAGGGTGGAAGCATTATCACTCAGAAGTAGCTATCTATACACTTTAATGGGGTGAGAGAATAGGTACCCTCTCTTCCATTATTTGACATTCACATGCTTTGAAATATGTTTTGAATTAAATTTCAGAAGCAAATGCATTTGTTCATATGTAGTTTCTTCTTCAGGGAATATCTGAAGAAACTTTGAGCAAGAGTACTTGTAAAATTGTGTATCGCTATTCTGCAGATAATGTTCAACGATGGGAGAGAGCTGTTCAAGATGATGAAGATGAATTGGAACGGTGTAAGGAAGCAGAGCAAAAACAAATGGCCAAAATTGAGCAGGATATGAAGGATGTGGACTCCCTAAGGAAGGAACGCCTTGCCAAAAAGGCTGAAGTAGATGCTGTGGATGAAGATATTAACAAGGTTAGGTTCTGCTTTAGACAATTTGAAATGTGACCCTGAACTTGTTGTTCAGAATTGCTGTCTGCATTCATCTAGATAAAACGTGAAATGTCAAGCATTGGAAAAGACCTTCAAGCAGTCCAAAAGCAGGTGACCCAGTTGGAGAATCGACTAGAGGCAAAGAAGGCTGAGAAGCACAGCATCCTCAGACAGTGCAAAGTATGTCTTTCATGTGGTTGATCTTTCCAAGATTCTTTGACTGTATTGTGAATAGTTTTTCTTTCCCTTATTTGTAGTTGGATGCCATTGCCATACCTTTGTCTTCTGGGGACCTTGACAACATTGAAGAAATGGGTGGCAGTTCCTCTGGAAGGCCAAGTGGAGATGGAGAAACCACAGAATCTTCTACTCTCTCTAGCCAGGCCATCTATGAGACTGAAGCTCAGTATGTTCATTCTCACTGATCTTTATCTTCAAGCAGTATTGTTTAGTTGTTGCAGGAAATGGTAAATGTAGCATGATGTAGCCTTCTTTAAGGATTCTTCTATTTGCCCTTGATGTGAGAGTTTTCAGTGTTTAACAATCAGGAAGATGTTTTCCCAAAAGCTGACAAAGAGCAACATAACCTATTGGGTTGGTGCATAATTTCGTAGCGTTTTCTTTCTAATGGAAGTTTGTCCAAGAAAAACAGAATTTTCATAATCTTTTATACATCATTTTAAAGCCCTAGTCTTGCTCTTTCAGATCGTTTTTGAATTTTTTTATTTGAAGAATTTTTTTTTAGTTACAGGTTAAAAATTATGGAGTGTCAAGTGGAAAAAAAAAGAACATTTCTGACATGTGCTTTTGTTTGAGTTTAATCGGGGAGTCAGTGCAGCGGAGGCGGCAAGAAACATTTGAAGTTTATACGGGGAGGATGCAATTGGTGAAAGCACGGCAAGAAAATGGTTTTCTCATTTTAGGGAGGGAAATTTTGACATAAAGGATGCTCAGGACGAACGTGTGACTTTGACGAGGACCGTTTAAACGCTTCGATCCACGATGATCTGTGTCAATCAACTAGAGAATTGGCCAATGTGATGGGCTGTGACCATTCAAAATCGTACGACATCTACAGTCTATGGGAAAAGTTCAAAAATTGAGCGCATGGGTTCCCCACATTTTGACAGAAAGCAACAAAAATCAGCATGTTTCTTTCTAGTGCTTCTTTGCTCGCCCATCATTGTTTAGCTTGTCAACAGCATCAATCGTTTTTGTCACGCATTGTCACTGGTGACGAAAAATGGTGTCTGTATGTAAATATCAAGCAAAGAAAGGAATGGCTGAGCCCTGGCAAGCAAGCAAAACCTCATGTGAAAGGTGATCTTCATCCATGCAAGGTATTGTTGTGCATCTGGTGGGACCGAGAGGGTGTCATACACTACAAATTGCTTCCAAGGAATGTGACCATCACTGCTGAGGTTTATTGTCAACAACTTCATCGACTTAATGCCGCAATTCAAGAAAAACTATCGGGAAGACGACATCAAGTGATTCTGCAGCACGACAATGCCCGCCCTCACACTGCAAGCATGACAAAAGCAGCTATTCAAGAGCTCGGCTGGGAGGTTCTTCCACACCCGCCCTACTCTCCCGATCTGGCTCCGTCGGACTACCACCTTTTCCGATCTCTCTCCAACAATCTGAGGGGAACTTCATTTATGAACGAAACTGCTCTTCAAAATTGGCTTGACGAGTTTTTCGACAACCAATCACAATCATTTTTTCAAGTGTGGAATCGAAGAACTGCCAGAGCGTTGGGAAGCAGTCGTAAACAATGCAGGAGAATACATCATTGATTAGTTCTTTCATTTCTTTTGTACAAAAAAATAAATTTTTAAACTGATAAAAAAAATGCTACGAAATTATGCACCAACCCAATATATTGACTAATAAGGATGCAATGCTTGTTCTGTATTTACCTCTCCCATCAATCACCTCCACAAAGTCAGCTTGACAGTATCTGTCTCTTCTCTGATGGTATGAGTGGGTGAAGTTTTGAGAAGGATGGAGTGTAAGATATAAGTGCCACAGCAGTAGGTTTATTGTTACTTCTCTGATTCCAAGTGCTTCGTTTGAGACATGTGAAGTTGGAAAAGTGACTGAACTTTAAAAGTGTTATGCTCCAAAGAATCTGTTTCTTGGTTCTGATAATGATATGATATGAAACATCTGATCAGCTATAATAACCAAATAAGATGGAATGGACTTTGATGATATATAAAATCTTGAAAACAGGTAAGAATGGTTGCTACCAATATTAATCTGGATCAAACAAGCAGTATATCTGGGTGGCATCACCTTTGGGTAAGTTGTGAAAAAGCACCAGATGAATTGTACTGGTACATCTTCAAAATTGAGAGAGTAGGAAACTAATTTTTATTGCCCTCAATAATGAATGAAAAGGGGGGGGGGTGACTGATGAAGACTGCAACAGCACCAATTTCTTCCTTCTTTCTTTCAGAATTCAAGTGGATTATTCTCAGCTACCATCCCATTTGCAAGAACTGGATGACTATGATGATGTCCGAAAAGTAGGAGATAAAATGAACAAGGAGATTCATGACCTCCAGACAACACTACAAAAGATTCAAGCTCCTAACTTGAAGGTAAAAAATTGCATCATTGTCACAAGTCAATGCACATTTTGGCACCTCCAGTTTGTTCCCAGTGCCCCTATCACAGACACATTTTTCAGTATCTCTCTCTCATGACAGAATATGAATGAGCTGCCCTATCCTTTTTAATGGGAGGGAACTTTTGATTTTGCTAACATATATAGATGCAGATTGCAAGATCTCATTGTGAATCCCTAAGAAAAATTGATGACAATTCAACTTTGTTCAGAAAAGGCCAAGAAAGCATCTGTATTCACATATCAAAAGTCAGATTAGGAAATAAACAAGTAATTCAAGTCTTTAAATATGAAATTTCTTAATGGTTTTCTCCTGGAGTTGTCAGAAAAGTGATGTAGTTTCATAGGTAGCAATACTACCTTTGTAAACACTGCATAGTAATTAAGATTTCATTCTAAAGTCCTAACTATAAAATAAGTTGTGCACAGCATGATAGGGACCTCTGCTGTAGGTCAGAGAACAAAATGGAAGGGTTTTGCCTTCTGCATTTCCATGAAAAGTGTCCTTATAAAAGTCTCTCTTTGAATCTCCTAGGCCACCCAGAAGCTTGATGCTGCCAAAGAAAAGCTTCAAGAAACAAATGAAGAGTTTGACACCGTCAGACGTCGTGCAAAGAAGGCAAAGCAAGCTTTTGAGAGAGTTAAGAAGGAGCGCTATGACAAATTTATTGCTTGCTTTGAACATGTCTCCAATGAAATAGACCCTATCTACAAGGTGATTGTTTTCTCTTAATTAAGGAGATGTTTCAGGAGTCCTCTGCAGCATGGGAGTGTACTTTAGTGAGAGGTATCATACTGCATGGGTTTTTGGATTTTACAGGCTCTTGCACAGAATCAGTCAGCCCAAGCATTCCTTGGACCAGAGAACCCAGAAGAGCCATACTTGGATGGGATCAATTACAACTGTGTGGCTCCAGGGAAACGTTTTCAGCCTATGTCTAACCTCTCTGGAGGGGAGAAGACTGTGGCAGCCTTGGCACTTCTCTTTGCTGTTCACAGGTAGTTATGCATGTACAACCCTATACAACTGTCAGTTGTGATCAGGACTTTTAAGACCCCTTTTTTGAAATAAACATTAAGATATCAGATTCACATTACAAACATTCAGATATCTTCATAGTGACATTTAATATGATTACAATTAGTTGGTTCTACACATGTTTTGATTTCTGATTAGGTCTAGCCTCACCCCCTTGTGCTTGATGAGAAAAGAAAGAAATTGAATTTTTTTCTTTCTTACCTATACCTTTGGCATTTTTGTTGCATTCAGTCTGATTTCCTTATTCTTTGTTGCATGATTGCATTCTTTTGCTCCTTTCTTATGTGAAGTATTTATTCCCTAACACTTGCTTAGGGTAATACCAACTTTCACTGCAGTAATTTTATTTGACTTTTTTGCTCTAGAAAACAGAGGCTGAAAAAGTTATTATTCACGCTATACAATCTCTTAGTGATACATGTCAATTTCCAAATGTATGGTTTCTGACCCCTTCTAGCTATCATCCTGCCCCATTCTTTGTCCTGGATGAGATTGATGCTGCTCTGGACAACACCAACATCTCCAAGGTTGCTCGTTACATCAGGGACCAGACCAATGCCCTCCAGTTTGTTGTCATCTCACTTAAGGAAGAATTTTATAGTCACTCTGATGCTCTGATTGGGATCTGCCCTGATGTAAGTTGACTAGACCCAACTCATTAGGGTATTGTAGTAAGCCTGGCCTTCCAAATGCTTTGATTTCTCGTTAGTAAAATATTTATGATTTTTAATACTTTCTGTGTTGTAGCCAGAAGCTCTCAGCTTTCACTAGGGGGGGAAATGCACATTGGATATTGTAGTAATTCCTTTCAAATTTGAGTAAACTTTCTACACTGTGATGTATCCTTTCATCTTAGCCTGGAGATTGCACCATCAGCCGAATGATAACCCTTGATCTGCGGCCATATGAGCATCCGGGGCAGCAAGAGGAACAAAACCGAAGTTCTGCATCTGTGGTCTTGAGGCAGTGATGGATAAGGCCCACAAAGGGATTCATGTGAATCCATTATGCACATTTTGCAGAGAGTTTAATCTCTTTCCATGGTCATTCTTTGTGTGTGAGTTCACTTGTGGCTGTCACTCAAAGTTGATTTGATTGGACATGAGAGACTTGTTCTGCAGCAGTACAAAATCAATTTCTCCTTCTTGTATGGTGAATTTGTGTTTGAAGCACAAGGACTGTCATGTATATCTGTGAGGGTAACTGATTTCAATGGAAAGTTTTTCTTATTTTCAAAACTTAAAATAAAGATGCTGGACAGTAGTAGTGTAGATAGAGTGTGAGGGTTCAGGAATTTTTTTTCCCAAGAAAATAAGTCATTTTTGCCAAAATATTGGACTGAACTCTAAATTTAAAATTCACCTGTGATCATCTGAAAACTCACACTTGCACTCAATTGGTATTTTCTTTGACTTGAACCTCAATCCATATTCTTATGTTCAGCTTAGTGAAGGGAAATCTCTATGTTCATCACCATCATTCATGGCACCCAATTCAATGCATTTTCATTTTTCCATTGGGTTTCTTATGACTTTGTGTTATACCAACGAATGTTGGTCACGTGAAAAAAAGTTGAGAGTTATGCCTTATTTGAAGAAATGCCAGACATGTATGTCATTTTTGCGGCTTTATGGCTTTATTAAGCAAATGTGAATTCTGACATTTTGGAACTCTCCTTACCTAACTATCCTCCCCCCAAATGACATGGCTGTGTCCCCTTATCAAAAAGGGAAGCTGAATTGTAGAAGCAAGCCCCAGAAGCATAGGCTGTTGGGAGAGCTGTCACAACTTAGAGCAGATCATAACCTGCATGTAGGACTTCCTGGCTGCTCAGCTGCTGGCAGCTGAACAGATCAACCCTAATACAAAAAATTTGATGTGGAGTCTGCATTTTTTTACTATTGACTTCCTGGTAATCTCTGAAGCACTTGATGAGTTCAGCTCTTATTTTAGGTGACATTAATCTGTCATGAGCTTCAGGACACATTTGCTTGCTTAGATGAGCATCGCTTGTTCCCTGCATTCTCAAGAGGTACAGATAGTCTAAAATCTGTCCAATTTTATCCTTGAATAGATCCATCAGCACTGTCAGCTTAGAATTATTAACAGGTTAGGTGATGTGTGTGAGGACAGTTGTAATGCCATAAATAACAGAGTTGATATCCATGCAGCTCGTCCCCTTGCGTTCTGAAAGTTTTTGCTGAGCAAATTCAGCACCCTGATTTCATTGACATCCAGAAGTTGTTATTTTCTGCAAGTGTAACTGGTTTTGTCATTGAGAAGGTTTTTCCCATCACAGGCCATTGCTTTATTGTTTTTTTGCCCTGGGGAAGATTCTTCCTCTTTGCTGCCATTTCAACATAAATCTTCAAAATATGACTACCAGCAAAACGAATTTACATCTGTAGGAAGTGTATTATCCTTTTGGAGATGCCCTGAATTGCAGGTCCTCCATATTCGAAACTGGTCTTGCCTCCGTGATTTTTTCCCCCATATGGTAATAAATGTCGATCGAGTTCCTAGTTGTGCCTAACAAATTACAGATCCTACACCGTATCTCTTTGATTGCGTCAGCCTCAGACGCCCAGAAAAGTTGAAGGCGCCTTGCTTGCACCGATTCCACGAAAACTGGGCCGATTGCTGATCCGAGCTCAAATTTTTCAAAGACCACAGAGCGTCTTTACAGATGAACGTAATTGGATCCCTACCTCATTAAAATCTTTTTCAAATTTACAGAGAGAGGAACTCCGGCTTCCCGGGGTAAAACCGACAACCTAAATAGTATCGGTAGATCTCGGCCAATTTCGATCCTCGTGTCTGCCTCTGACTGTTACCAGTATACGAAGTACAACCTAAATTGTTCCCTCGAAAGAGGCACATCAACCCGCTTCCGGGTCTTCAACGAGATTCCTAATAATAAAAAAATAAATGACTAAGTAGCATATTACGGATTACGAAGCTAGCCGTCTGCTTACCCGATATCCCGTCGCAGAGTGGATTAACTTGAGTAAGTGGCTCAGGGCCACTTCCCTGGTTCCTGGATCGAATTACCCCGTCTACATTCAGTAGGCCCATCATGTCCCACGGACTCGGGGTCCCTTCCTCTAATACTGTGGACGAATCCCATGATTGCATCACATCTTAAACCTAATCGCTGTCTCCGGTCTCTCGTCCCATCCGTTCCTGCCGCTCACGTGCGCAAGTAAAAACTTTCGTAGGATTACAAACTTGACTAACGTTAGTAGTTCTTGCTTTGACTGTTGGCAGCTGACCTGCCTCTGATCGCGAGATTTGGTTCAAATGAGCTATCATGGTAAATTTGGATCACTGAGCAGACTCAAGTATTCAATTTGCATCACATTCAGTCTCTCTGGGTGAATTTCGCCTATCATCAGGCTCAAGTCGGGTCGACGGGCCGATATGAATGGCTCGGACCAGATTTTGCGCCTGGCATATCTTGGGCGTTTCTTTCGAGTAGATAAATTCCAAAGAAGCAAGAAATCTTTCATTCGATACGATCCTCCGATTCCGGGCTTTTATGTGCAATAAAGAGCAGCGAGTCGGAAGGATCCAAATGAAAGGGGAAAACCCGCTGGGAGAAGAGGAAGGGAATGAAAAGGCCCCTGCCCTCCTTTCTCTACGAGGGAAGACCGACTCGTGAATGAGCCCGCGGCCCCATTTCGGCGTCCCGGGGCTTACCAAGGTGGTAAGCCCCTTATCAGTGCCCTAGTCGAAGAAGTAACCCACATATTTATATGTTCCAGATCAATACCAATTGACCAGTTACATCTAGAGACATCTCATTAAAAACGGAAGTGATCTCAATGGCTAGAATGGCAATAATAATCCCTTCACCGAATGTGGAGGAGATTGCAGAGTCGAATATGCTCTTCCCCTCTCTGCATTTGTGTCTGCGCTCCTGGAGCGGAGATTCTGTTTCTCGTCCCTCTCACACCTCCGCTTCCAACGACGCATGAAGAAATTGCGAAAACCCTCTCTGTCAAGTAACATTCCCAGAATGCCGTACGCCTAAGGCATGAAAAAAAACTGGGCTATAGAAGAGATTCGGTGCTGGTCGCAGTCATCGACCCCAGAAGTTCTCAAATGACCGACTGGTGGCCCTCATGAATCATGTAAGAAATGTGAACTCCATCAATTGGGAAGTAAGTGATTCATAACTCACCAAAGGCCTATTTATTGGCGTAATACATATTTTATTCATTATGGGTTTAGGCTCTTATTTTATATTGACCTCACTCGAGTGGTCACGGGGCCCTTCAAGGAAATTGAGCTCTCGACGATAGGTGACATAATGAAGAGAAACAAGGTCCCGCTGAAGTCTTAAGTGAGTTTCCTATTTCCCGAAACAAGCCGGCAGTGATTTAAAAAATAGTGTGAATCAATACTTTTTTCCCCATGAAACTTTGAAACACCTTTTCCCTAAAATATGATATTGTTTTTCCTTGGCTTGTAAAAAAAAATCAAGATATTGTTCTGTCAATACTAGTCATTTTTCGTTTAACGGTACGTCGTGGAACATGATGTAATTGAAGCGGCAGAGCAAACAGGATTTATCCATGTTGACGGATCCCTGAACAAACTGCACATTCGCAAAAAAAGGAAAAAACTTTGGGGAAAAAGTAGGAGGAAAGTAATTTCTACAGCTTGAATCAAGGATCAATCAATACCGATGACGCCTAGCTTTGACCCCATCAGAGTCCATAAACACCGGCTGGAGAGTCTCACTTGAGCTCCAAATGGCGCATAATTTTTTATATCGCCTCTGGATAATTTTCCCATAAAAGCAAGAATTCCCACGCCAGCCTCCCAAGAAGGCAATGGCGATACAGTCGAGTATGGGGGCGGTATATCACTTCATCTCTCAACGGCCTGTCGACGCGTATATGTACTGATTTACTGTGCCATCCTTCAGATGGCACAGACAACAATGAACAAAGACAAGAATAGATAGGGTGATGAATGAAAAGAGCTCTGGACCAAAGAAACGACAATTTTTCATGTTTCTCTTGCACCCATGAGGATACAATTCTTCTGTTCTATCCACGAAAATCTTCCGATCTTAAAATGAAGTCTGTAGCTCCTTCAAACAGAGACACGTGAGAGGTTCACGGCTCTATCGTAGGAATCGTTCTCGACCTCAGATTTTGTGTACTTGCGAGTGCCTTTTCAGTACCTCTTTAGCCTTCTAGAACACAGTCGCCAGATAGTACGTACAATTTCGGCCTGAGACAAAATAAATTCCAGCAATGTAGGGGTTTTTTGTATTAAACCATCCCCATATCCTGTGTAAGGCAACATTGCATCTGCCTTGCTAAGAACGGATCTTACAACTCATTAGCATACCACCGGTGTTGGGCGCGTTACTTTTAAAAGTAACTAGTTATAATTACAATTATGTCGTCCAAAAAGTAATTAGTTACCAGTAGAATTACTTCTCACCAAGAGTGACTAGTTACAAGTAGAAGTTACTTTTTAAGTTACTTTTCCTGAACAAAAATTCCGATCTTTCTACAGCTTCTCCACTTCTTCGACAGAAGCTGG